TATAGCACTGAAAAGCTGATGGAAATGATAGCTTTGCATTTAGATGCTACTTATGCAAAATGTGACACATGGAAGGAGTTGGCTTGTTGTTTCCTGAGGCTTTCTCAATGTGAAGAAGATTGCATGTCTGTGTGCTCCAACGGTGAAGATAGTGAGAAGCATAAATTCTCATTTTGGAATAGTCAGATTCCAAAAATATTTAGTGATTATGAGTCTAGCAAGTCATGGAGGCTCCGTTGCAGATGGTGGCTGACTCGTCACTTCAGCCAGAATATACTCACTTCAGATATTGCTTCAGGTACAACATTTCTTTCTTTTTAGCATGCAACTAAGTTCACTTGTTTACCACAACAAAGGTCCAAATACTAAATACTAAAGCTTTGTGGGCTTGATCTTGGTTTGAGGTGATTAAGGTTTGTATATTAGCTGTTTGGTTTGATCCCCCACCACATCTTGCCCCATAGCGTTTGATGTGTAGCAGTTTTATTGTGTTTGTTTATGCTCAACTTTCTAGCAGGAAAATAATCTGTTCACAAATTTCTGAAGAACCTGATCCACCTTGAATTATATTTGCCTGAAAACAGTTGTGTGGAAAACTGCATGGATCCTAACAAAAAACTGTTTGCTGATCCAGCTTCTAAGTTTTTCTAGTTTCTTAAAACCAATATATATGATGCAAAAGTCAAGAATTGGCTTTAATAGTTAGTACTAGTATAGATGTACAAGAGTTAAAATTCAAATTATTAAAAAATTCATGTGGTTCCAAGACATAATACTGCATTGTTAATAGTGTCAGGTCTTAGACAAATTAGAAACCGACTTTGATTGATATTAGGTTCTTGTTTTCTCCGTTTTCTTGCATATCTATGGATGGATACTTTGGCAAGATGCCTGCATCCAAGGCCCCAAATATGGGTGTGGGCCATTTTGAGGGGGTGAAAAAACATCCTTGTTCTCCGAGTCTTTACACTTGCAGAAGTTCAGTTTTCTCTTTCCCATACCATGTGATCGGGAGGTCACGGGTTCGAGCTGTGGAAACAGCCTCTTGCAGAAATGCAGAGTAAGACTGTGTACAATAGACCCTTGTGATCCATCCCTTCCCCCAACCCCGCACGTAGCGGGAGCTTAGTTCACCGGGTTGCCTTCTTTAAGTTCAGTTTTCCACCTGTGATGACCAAACTCTCTCTTGTATATATTAGATTAGAAATGCCACATGCAGCAGGGATATCTCCAACTTCACCCAGACTAACATTTGGTTTCCTCTGCCTCTTGCAATTAAGTTTTGAGTCTAGTTAAATGTACAAGTTAGACAGAAGAAGACAGAATGCCAAAAGATTACAACTTTTACACCAATCCTTACAAAATGAGAAATTTCAAAGCAACCTACTGAACAAACACAGTATTTCAGGGGAAAAAAGAATCTAAGCTATGAAAACACCACAACAGATCCGTTTTTTAGAAAATTTTAAATACAGGGTTAGGGAAATGGAAATGGAAATGGGAAGGGGATTACAAGGTGGGGAATCAAACTCTCACCAACATGGTGAAAGTTCAGGTAGTAAGTCAACCAACTGAACTACTAATATTCCTCACCCAAACCTATTTCATTGAGGAAGAGAAAACATATTCAAATGTCAGAAACAACATGGAGAAAAACTCATTCTTGAGAATCCACTGATGAACAAAATACTTTTACATACTCTTTACTTTTAAATTAATCTTATCTTGATTTTAAGTCTATTTACTGAAGTGAAGACATGTTTACTTTAAAGTAAGGCTCATTACTTTGTAACGGTTGTTCGTCATCTTAGATGCTCTTTTTTAGGTATTTTGCTAATATATATAGGAGTATTATTCAATCTTTGTATTCCAGCAAATGTTTTATATTTTAATACTCTGATTTGCCTGTTGATGGCAGGTGATTGGGAACTGCTGACTTACAAGGCCGCCGTGGCATGTTACCTTTATGGGCGAGAATTTAAGTATGTTGTGAAGGTTAGTGCGTGTTTGGAAGGAGAGCCAATTAACAAGAATTTGTATTCCATATTGCACATGCATGCCAACAGTTGTACTGGATTTTACTTCAACGTAAAGAAATAAGGGATCGTTTGGTTTGACTACCAAGTTATGCTAGGATTAGTTATGTTGGGATTAATTTTGGTTGCTTGTTTGGCTTGTCATATTCAAACTTATATTCATTACATAATTTCTAAGAATAAGTTGTTTGTTTACAAAAACACCCTTCACCTTATTTAGATTTTCTGTTTTTTACATTTTCTATGTAGGTTTTAGTTATTCGTTCTTATAAATGAAAATTTTCATCTTATTTAACTTAAATATTTTTGGGTGTGCATTTCCATGATTGTGCTATGTGATTTTAAGATTATAATTTCATCATATTTAACTTAAAAATAAAACTTTCATCTTGTTTAGCTTAAAAATATTTTTCATATTCTTTAGCTTAAAAATAAGATGGTAGAGTATCCATCTTATATTCACTGTCAACTAGTATCACAATTGCCGTTGCCACCATTTCTGGTCGCCGGTAACTTCTATTATCAATCACCTCCATCACTATCACCAACTACCGTCAACATCATCCATCAACCATCACAAATTACACAATGGTCAACCAACATCGCCAAATATGAACACCAATCATCTCCACCATTATAACTGTTACCAAATGATATCACCACTAATTGCCACAATTGTGCTAATCACTACAACATCAACCATCTCCACCTTCATAACTATCAATATATCTATTAGACATACATTATCAAATAGCACCTCTTAATGAGAGATATGAACAAGAAGTTTCGAGAAAACTAGTGTTTTTTGAATTATATGAAGCCAATTGAATCTATGGGTATTAAGCTAGGGGAGTGAATAGGATTAGATACCCCAATAGTCCTAGTTATAAACGATGGATACTAAGTGTTGTGCGTATCAAATCTATGAAGTCAAAGACTTCAACTGCTGCTTGACTGCTCGACTTGGCTATTGAAGAAGTTCTTTACCTTTAGGCACCAGGAGTAGGTAAAAAAAGACGATTTTTTCTTAAACTGACACGTATTGAAGTGTTTTTCTTGCATATTCTTGATAAACTGGTGTTTGTTCACTAGTGGACATAATCTATTCGATTATATCTTTAAATGGTTCCTTTTTTTTAATCAAATAATGATCTAATTACTATTTTACTTGAATTGTATATTCAATATGTTTAAAAATAAATGTATACATATTTAAATGCTAAATAAATAAATAATCTTAATTATTCAATATTACACATCTAAATACAACAGGTTAATTATTCAAATTCAAATGCCTTAATCGTAAAAAAAAATGGAGCTTAAGTTCACATGACTAATAGTCTAATACAATAAAGTTGGGGTGGGGAAAAAGGATTCATAAGGATGTGATTGCCAAAGACAAGGGCGCCTTTGCACCCACATGTTCACTAACTACCGATGTTGCACCTTAATTAATGTATACCCGCCGACCTTAAGTCAAACCCCAAACAATCCCTTAAATTCTCTTTAAATGTCATGTTTATTTGTTTATATATATAGCTATAAAATAAAAGGTGTAATTATATGTTTGAGTATTCTTTTATTTTTATTAAAAAGTAAATATAAGAAAATAATATTCTTTTAAATAATAAATTTTAATGTGCGAGAAATATACGAGTATACAAGAAATATGAAAAATGAAAAAAAGAAAAGATTTATTTTTTCTCAATTAAACTTAATGTCATGTTGACCAAATAAACACGTCAAACTATATAATTACACCCTAATTTCCAATTGCAAAATGACCTTTTAAACATACCCATAATACTTGACATTAATTTGTGCGTTTGGTATGATGGGAATATTTTTTTTTCGGTTATTAATAAACATTTTCAAAATATAAATGAGTTTCTTTAATTGGGTCAAAGTCTTTTTTCATTTATCATTACTTCAACCGACACATGCATAAATTATCACTCTTTAATGCTCAATAGTAAAGTAATTCAATAGATCATAGGGCTTAAAAAGTGGGTGATTCATTAAGAATCTGTAAATGTATCTCATGTAGCTTAATTAATCCATACTAATTATTATATACATAAATTATTATTCACAATTTTTATATGAATATATTGTGTATAATAGATGAATCATTCAAATTCATCCTTGATAGTTTCAGGATTTTGGTCATGTATCTTTAAATGAACTTAGTTATTGTACCATTTATTATCTATTTATGCATTGCATGTTCATTTACATGTACATGATATATATGAATAAATACATACATATAGAATATAGTAAGATTTTTTTTTTCTTTTTACATTATTTATGTAGCTTAATTAGTTATAATAAGTTGCTTACTTTTTTTCTATTACCACCAACTCATATTTAGTATAGTCATTTACATGCGATTAGCTTCTTAACAGTTTGATTTTGTAAATATTTTGCATTGTCAATAAAACTTACTCTTTTACAATTATTTGAATTATATGTACTGTTATTTTTTTTTAAAAGAAAAGTTGTGCTAAAAGTGTAATTCTTGATTTGCTACTGCATGTGCTCAAAACTTATTTTGCTATTTGTGTATGTGCGTGCCTATGTGACTTTAATACACTTCTCCAAATTACCTATAATCATTTTTGAGATTATACCTTTTTACTTACTATAAAAAAAATAAAAAAATCCCCATTTATTTCCAATAAAGAACATTTTAAGTATTAACCAAATCCACCAAGAGTCAAGACTCATATGTGACCATCATCTCCCATTTTCACTGCTGTAAAAGCTTTCTTGAACTCCGCAGGACTTCGCAACAATAGTGGCGGAGTCAAAAATTTTTACCAAGACTCAAAATTCGGAAAAATAAACATACAAGTTAATTGAAACAGGTTTGACATCTATTATATACATTAAAAATTATACTAATCAGGTATAAATAGTATAATTCTTTAGAGAAAACAACCATGAGATAACTCCGCCCTTGAACAACATAACAGGGTAAAATTCAGAAATGTAAGAGAACAGAATCTACGCAGATTTTATCATTGCCTAGTCTTCGTCAAATGAACCCTTTATTGCCACCTACCTCTTTTTAGCAGTAGTAGCAGCAACAACTTTTTTTCCTTAGAACTATCAACTATTCCCTTAAGTAAACCAAATAGTTAATTTGTTGAATTAATCGCAGATGGCAGGTGGATATAGAGCTGAGGATGATTACGATTATCTGTTCAAGTTGGTGCTAATTGGAGATTCTGGTGTCGGAAAATCCAATCTCCTTTCTCGATTCTCCAGAAACGAGTTCAATCTTGAATCAAAGTCTACTATTGGCGTTGAATTCGCTACCCGTAGCATTAAGGTAGATGATAAGATCGTCAAGGCTCAGATTTGGGATACTGCTGGACAAGAAAGGTATTTTTTTTTTCTCTTTACTTCTACATTTTGAGCTAATTGGTTGAATTTTGTTTGATCTGGCAATCCCATACTCTTGAAACTTGCGTATAAGTTGCTAATTTAACTTTCTAAAGTGGGATTTGTTTCAATTTTTGCTAGAATCTGATAATTAATGAGTTAATAAACTTGCCCCCAAAAAAAAGTTTTGATTTTTTTGAGTTTTTTGGCAAGATTTGAAAAGGATTGGTTGTTTCATAGCTAAGGGATGAAGTTCCCTAATTCAGTTACAGATATGTAAAAGCTAGAAGGCGTCGTGTTACTTAGTATGTTATGTTGCCATCTAGATTTTGTGACTGTGTGGTACTTTGTTTTTGTGAGCTGAGGGTATATCGGAAACAGACTCTCTACCTCAAAGTAGTGGTAAGGTGTGTGTACATTTTATCCGCTCAGACCGCACTTTTGTGGGATTACACTTGGAATGTTGTTGTGGTGGTGGTGGTTGGTGTTGTGGTACTTTGTTTTTGTGTGTATATATCTATCTCTTACGTGTCTCTCTACCTCACAAAGGTAGGGATAAGGTTTGTGAACATCATACCCTCCCCAAGACTCCATGAGTGGGATTACATTCGGTATGTTTTTGTATATATAAGGAGGATGTGAAGGATATGATTGCTCTGTCTTGCTTGGTATTGTAGAGATGCTTTTGATTGTTAGCTAGCAAGTATAACACTTAGTAGTGATGGATTTTTCCTATGGTTCAATGCCTCCCATTAGTGTCTTTTAGGCAACGAGCAAGTGTAGTTGTGGATCAAGTTGTCAATGGTAGACCTGAATTTACTTCTAACTTCTTCTAAAAGGTGATTTCTTCTTGTTTTTCTTCGAGAGTTGTAAATTAGAGGTGAGAACAAATGACATCTGCACGTTAAACTTCCATAGGTGTGATGGTTCATTGCCCCGGTCCAGAGTACGATTAATCTGGCATGGACTACATGAGCCCCTGATAGTTTACCGGATAAATTGAGTTGCCGGGCATTCCTAGTCATTCATAAATCTTTGAGGTTTAAGGTTTCAAATATGAATATCATATAATTAAAGAAAAGGAAAGAAATGGTACAAAAACGGATAACTAAGGAGTGGAGCAAATGTGGTCCCTAGGGATTTGGCTAGTGGTAAGTGGGCAGTGCATTGTGTGTGGGTTAGGGGTAGATCAAAGGTTTGAAGCCTACTGCAGTCAAAATTGCAGTACACTGTATTCAATTGGAAAAGGGTAGAGAGGTGGGTCCATTATCCACCGAGTTTCAAGCGGTGCGCCACTAGCCCTCGTGGATTCCTCGCTTATAATAATAAGGAACAAAATTTGGCTTGTTGACAATGTTATATTTAATTATTTATAGCAAGCTAGCTAGAAAAGTTGGACTTGTGCATGTATGGTAGTACTAGTCTATTAATTATCTCCTAGCTAACATCATCTCATTTAAGTACTAATTGACTTTTGCTAGAAACTTACTTTTTCAGGTGAGACTAGAGGGCTTTTTTAAAGAATGGGTACTATTTTCCATTACTTATCAAAAAGAAAAAGGAAAATGTCATGCACTGAATTAATCACGACATTTTTAAAGAATGGGTACTATTTTCCATTAATTAATTGTTGTGCACTTAATTAATCACGACATTTGACTGTTACCTACTTCATCAGCTTAGGTGTCAGAAATAATCTCCTTATAATGCCATTTTAAGTGGTGGTTCTGTTGCAAATTTCGGACTAGACGCTAGAGTATAGATGCGTATACATGGATGAAAGATGAGCTTCGCTCATGTACTCGAAATAGTTAACTGACATCCTAAGAGAAAGAGAATGGGTGTTTATCCTTGTAGTTCTTCTGTTCTGGTTCTCGTTGGTTAGTTTTATATTTCTTGCTTTCTTTTATTGCTTAACCTGCGACTTTCTTCTGCCAGCTAGCCTAATTCCTGATAAGTTCATTTTCGGGTTTGATTTTTTATTTCAAGTGTGGAACTTATGTTTGAGCTCTGTTAAATCTTTGGTTTGAAATCTTTTTGGTTCTCCTTTGTCACGGTAAGATTGGCACCTTATTAGATGTGGAGACTAATTAAAACTTCCATTTCCCATGTCGGACAATAGGTACCGTGCAATTACAAGTGCATACTACAGAGGGGCTGTCGGTGCATTGGTTGTGTACGATATCACTCGACATGTCACATTTGAAAATGTTGAGAGATGGTTAAAAGAACTTCGAGACCATACCGACCAAAATATAGTCATAATGCTCGTTGGGAACAAGGCCGACTTACGTCACTTGCGTGCTGTTTCAACAGAGGACGCCAAGGCCTTTGCTGAAAGAGAGAGTACCTTCTATATGGAGACTTCAGCACTTGAATCCTTGAATGTTGAGAATGCGTTTACAGAAGTATTGACCGAGATATACAGGGTGGTCTGTCGGAAGGCACTCGAAGTTGGGGACGATCCTACTGCATTGCCAAAGGGGCAGACTATAAATGTTGGCAAGGATGATGTTTCAGCTGTGAAAAAAGTTGGTTGCTGCTCTGTCTAAGCTAAAAAAACCAAGAAATCAGTGAAGTTAAGCTTTCAAATGGCTTCTCCTATAGTTGCATTGAGTATTCTCAGTTTTGAATATCTTAGGAAATATTCCACATCTGTATTGTTTCATTAACTTACCTTTAGTTTGTACCCTATTTTGCTAGTCTTTTGACTCTTTGAAAAGATTTACTATTATTTATATACTTTTACATTATATTTTTATTTGGTATGTTTATGGCATGAGATGAGTTTAAATGGAGAAACATGATTTATATATAAGCGTCGCAACTTATTTGAAACTGAAACTTAGTTGTTATTTAGTTTGACATGTAGAAGAGCAAGTGGTTTTGGGTTTTTTTCTGAAGAATAATGTCTCTTAGGATTGTTAATTAGTTGTCATTTTATCTTATGTTCTCTATGTTTTAATTTGTTTGTTTTACTTTACTTTTAAGTCTGTTTTTAAAAAAAATTGGTTTCTTTTTTTATGACACCTCTTTAATTTCACTTTTACATGAGTCTTTTTTAGTTTTTTGAAGGCATAATACATAAGTATGTCATTTAACTTGACCTTATTTTACATTTATGTTATTAGGTCTGCACAAGTAGACACTTAAACTTGAACAAAGTTAAACTAGTAGACACATGAGTCCTAGCATAATACATGTAAGACTCAAATTGTCATGTAGGATTCCATGTAGAATGTGTGTCTATTTATTTGATTTTATACAAATTTAAGTATCTACTTGTGCATCCTCAAAGTAGGAGGGTGTAAATGTGAATTAAGGTCAAACTAAAGGACATATTATGTGTACATAATTATATATCATCACTTTACTTTGTAACTTAAGAGTAAATTTGCTTAGTTTGGTGTGAACACCTAAATATTTTCCCAAGTAATGATAATGTACCAACAGTGATAAGCATGCTCAACACTATAAAAAGATATAATACATAAACGTGCATTTTAACTTAACATCATCTGATATCTATATCCTCCAATTTTGTGTGCGCGCAAAATATAGACACTTAAACACTATCATAAAATTGAACAAGTAGACACTTTACGTCCTATATGACAAATCTCACGTGATTTGTCATTTAGGATGTGTGCATCTCACACAATTCGTGTAAGACACGTGTGTCTACTTTATAATACTTTAAGTACCTTCTTATGCACAATCAAAGTTGAAAGACACACATACTAACTGATGTCAAGTTAAAGAACACGTTAATGTATTGTACGCTTCAGAAAGTATCACTAACTAGTTATACCATCTGCAGTACAAAGATGGCACATTAATCCAGAAAGAATACAGTAATCATGCGCGGTTGAACAAGATAATTTCAGATGTCTATACAAAATTCACAATACATGCACATGGTTCCAACAAAATTAAGAGGTCTGTACAAATTCAGGTGACAAATTAAGGTCACCAAGTTATATGCTAACATCTAGCCAAAGTATATACAAAATATATATATAATTATACAGGTCTCCTCTTGTTAGAGAACAAATATTTAACAAGAGAACAAAATGTCCCACTCTTATAATTATTCATCCACCAACCAACTCCCTGTATTCACAAATATTTTCTTTCTATCGACAATCCGGTGGATTTGCAGATAGGGCAAGTGTTCTTCACAACCAACCACTTCTTTACGCACTCCGCGTGATATTCATGCCCGCAATCAAGAGTTCCTATAGTTTCTTGCTTGTTGTAATCAGTCTGAAATTGAAGGCAAAATATACATTGCAAGCCATCAGAGATGTAAGGATAACTAAAAGAAAGAAAACAAGGAAATGTAGCTCCATAGGAAAGCACAGTAAAGCATTAATGGCGCATAATTGGAAAATAATCATGCATTACAAACCAGACAACATAAATGTGAACAGAAAAAAAGAAGATGGACAGAAACATCTTAGTAGCCGAGGCAATACTTTGCCTGGTGGAAATCCAAAAATAATTGATGGCATCCTACTGTGATGATAGTTAAAAGCTTATAAAGATTGAGGAAGGAGTCCAAAGCATCCTCAGTTTATTTCGAAACAATGCAATAGTAAACTGTTGGTCAATAATTCAGCTGACAGACTACGCTATGCTATTGCTTAAATAGATTCATACCACCACCCAAGAGAACGCATGGCTCTTATACTTGGATGTCAACCTATTCTTTCTCCATAACATTTTATACCGTCACTTCTAGAGTTACAAATATAGGAAAAGAAAAAGAAATCAATTCCAAATGCAAAAGTTTTCCAAGTGGAATGATTTGTAAAATTATTATATTCTTTATTAGGAGGAAGAATGAAAGAGTTATAAGGGGACAATTGTGCCAACTTCATATTTCTGCTTAATACATTGTCTCCCAAACTTGACTTATTATATGAAGCATCAAAAGAAATTTCTTTAACCACAGTAAGAGAGAAAAAAAACAATCTTTGAGAAAGAAAAGTGTGAATAGAAGAGATTGACGATTATCAGAGAGTTAAAACAAGAATATCTTCATCAAAGATACTGAAAACAAGAATTACTAGTAGATATAAGAACATAAATTAAGAGATATAAGAACATTTCCTAGGAAGATCATTTGGAATGAAGTTTAACACTCCTTCGTTTCAATTTATTTGTTTGGTTTTGACTTGACACGGAGTTTAAGAAAATAAAGAAGACTTTTGAAACTTGTGGTCTTAAACTAAAGATATGTAAAATGTACCAAAGTGCCCTTTAATCTTGTGGTCTTAAATATGTCATGTGGAAAGTTAGAATTAAAGAATTATCAAGAAAGGGAAGAGGCATTCTTTTTTAAATGGACTAAAAAGAAAAGGCAAACAAACTGAAACAGAGGGAGTAACAAACTAAAACCTACTAATGTGATTGTTTGAGCAAGAGCTTACACCCATTTGATTTGTCTTGGTTAGTGTACTTAATCAGCACCTAAAATTAAAATGGACGGGAGAAAAGGAGACTGAAGTAGAGCCATCCCCAGAGTGATCCCTGCAAAAGTCACAGGCAAACCTAATCCTACTCAAAGTATAAGTTAGTGCTAATACCTGGCATATGACACAGAAATCAGCTTCGTGATCCAAACATGCAGCAGTTTCCAGGGTGCAAGGAATAACGGGGGGCGAAAATGATCTTGTTTTCAAACGGTTAATGATTATTTCATCTGACAATCCAGTTGTTACATTGCCAATCTGCTCCCCCAGTGCAAGAAGCTCCTGGAATATAATTTTAAAGTTGCAGAAATTTTATTATTAGAAGTCATGCAAATTAATTGCAGAGCAGACAATAACTCCGAACTAGTAAATAACATACAAACAAAACAGAGACTTCGCAAGTACTGATTAGCCATCAGGACAAATCTGAGACAGTAATATAATCAAGAAACCTATTGCTCACCTCGTAGGACATGTGATCTACGTCTAAACGCATATCTCTGTGCTGATCAATGGGATTGTTAACTTCATGGTATCCCGAAACATCCAGCATTGCCACTCCCTACATATAACAACCATGAAGAGATAAACCCATTAGCATTCAATTCTATTAACATCAAACAAATGCATCAATTAGACAACAATAATGACAAAGGAAGTAACGAGATATGGTCAAACAGAGAAAAGTTTACATCTTCTGGCAGAACTCTCATGTTAGGAAGGTTCTGATGTCTAGTATTTCTTTCAAGCACGATAGCCCTTCGATGAGGTCTATACAACCCAAAGCCAGTTGGTAGGGAGGGCATATATCTGGGCCCTGCCTCTACAATGCCTTGCATTAGGTTAGTGGTGATATTGGACGAATTATTTGGTAGGTGTCTGTGTGAGGATGATGCTGTCATTTGCGGAGGGAAGGTGATAGGCTGGCCTCTCATTCCTTGAATATTAGGTGGCAGATGATGAAGTCCTGGGTGCCCTTGAGGAATGGGTGGATGCAGAAAACTAGTCAAACCTCCATTGCTGGATGCCATATGATAACCTCGCAAGCCCATGTTTCCAGCATCTACACATCCCCCAATGCCACCTAGTGTAATAAAGAAAAGCAAGCAGCTGCAATCAGTTCCTGAAGTTAAATGTCATCACTTGAAGAATTTGAAGAAGGGGCGGGGGGATTCACTAGAGATATAGAACTAAGGGGGACACATATGCAAATCATTTGTCAATACAAGATAAATTAACAAAATGGTAGTCAAGACAAAAGGAAAATCAGACATGTTTTCTGTGGATTTTTCCATTTAAAATAAGCGGGCAAAAGGAAGCTGAAAGATTCATTGTTCAGCTGGTAAGAAAACAAATCTTAAAACAAAAGACTTTCAGAAAACGTTAAACAAGGAGAAGATCAGCAAACCTAGAGAAAATAGATCCCTAAATTTCAATTAAAAAATGAACATAAATTACCAGGTACATAGGGTAAAGGAGCAGCCTGATTCCAGGCCCAAGGTTGAGTCTCACTACCATTGCTGTTGAACTGCAGATCCAACCAAGGATTGCCAGGCAACTGATGGGTCTGACTTATATAGTTCCCTTGAAATAAATGATTGTGGTTATGTCGTGCGATATTTTCTGGACCATTAGCACCAGATCTGTTATTCATACTTCTCAGTGCTACATCTTCAATGTATGATGATGAATTGCCTCCATAATCTGGTGGTGTAAATGATGCAGCATCCATTGGAATATCAGATTCATGTGCCCTTGCAATCATTGGAGCAACAGAAGAACTGGAACCTGCCAAAGCATGATGATATTGAAGATTTGCAGGAATTCCTTCAGCATTCTTTCTCTTAAATGAGCCTCTGACATCGTCCATGTAATGATTGTTCCTTCCGTAATCTGAATTCATTCCAAGGATGTTGTGAGAGCTTGTATGAAGCCGATCATGTGGCCCATGATTTACTGGAATAGGGAAATCTCCAGAAGCGGATGGAACAGCCATGTAAGGATTGTAATGATTTGATGAAGCAGAAATAGCTAGGTCAGGATTGCTGGCAGGATGCTGATGTTGAATCCCATTGAACTGTGTCAAGCCATATGTTAAGGTACCCTCTTGATGGTCTGATACATGGTGCAAATATATATTACCAGCATTTACGGGAGCTGGTACTACTGCATGGACAGTAGGCTGTGGTAAAGTCGCTATGCTCCCATAAAACATGCAAGGTGCTGAATGAAAAAACTCTTGACCTTGCTGATCTGCTTCCATATCAATTATGCGATTACCGTGTGACATGCTCCTTTAGCC